GAAATGAGAAAGGCAAAAGCCCAGCTAGAACGCAATCTGGCCGCTGTTGTTAAAGACAACAAAAAAAGTTTTTACAAATATATTAATGACAAGAAGAGAGCCAAGGAGAATCTCCATCCTTTATTGGATGCAGGGGGGAACATTGTCACTGAGGATAAGGAAAAGGCTAAGGTACTCAATGCCTTCTTTGCCTCAGTCTTTAACAGGCAGACCAGTTGTCCTCAGGGTACTCGGCCCCCTGAGCTGGAAGACAGGGACGGCGAGCAGGATGAAACATCCTGTGCCTAGCTCACTCTTGCTTTCCTTCCCATCCTGTTAACGCCACAGATTTACATCAATGCTGCAGCATGGCTTTGCATGAAGAAATTATGTTACGTGCTCCTGAGAAGACTTTAGGAAAGAGCAGTGCAGCAGACTCCCCTGCTCACTCTTGCTTTCCTTCCCATCCTGTTAACGCCACAGATTTACATCAATGCTGCAGCATGGCTTTGCATGAACAAATTATGTTACGTGCTCCTGAGAAGACTTTAGGAAAGAGCAGTGCAGCAGACTCCCCTCCTCCAAACACAGGGATGGGAAATAAGCCAAGGCAAGATGCTTTCAAAAGCAGAGGGAGTTGTAGGAGCAGAGGAATGCAGAGCTGCTCCACTACTTGGCCAAAGGCCTATTGCTGCCAGTAAGTGGGGATAAAGAAGATATATATGGTTATATTAAAGGTCAATAGGAATAAGATTGAAGGCTAAACAAGGAACTACAAAGCCAACTGAAGTTGAAGCAAATAGTAAATAGTAGGCTCAGAACACAAGCTGAAGGAACAATGGCTACTTGAGAAAGACATATCTTGATTGAAATTGTGAAATACTAAGGCAGAGCAGGGAGATGAATTGGCACCTCTGACAAAGATCGGGGCATGAGGATTCAGTGGCTCCCTTCAGAGACATAGAAGGTGTTGCTGAGATTTTGTCCACAGCAGATAAGATTTGTTCATTGTTGCTCCGATACCTCATGGGATCTCTCCTCTTGGCTTATGGTCTCTGTCCCTCTTTCAGCCTGCTCTGCTCCAAGCCTTTCTTTCCAGTTGCCAGCTCATCTGCTCAATTTTCTTCATGGCATGTGATTCAGTAAGATTCACTTCTTGACATTTTTCCTATGCAAATATGACTCAAAATATGCTTCCTCTTCCATCTAGGAGTCTTCCACGCTCCCATAATGCAGAGAGGGGGGAAAAAAGTAGGAAAGACCAAATAAATTGAATGACCTGAATATCTGCTATGATCCAAAGGGTTTCTGCACTCAGCCTTGGTCTGTGCCGTGGTTTGGCTCAAAGGTAAGAGCTAACAAGATGGCCAGGGACCTAGAGCACATGATCAATAAGGAGAAGCCAAAAGAATTGGGTTTGTTTCTTCTGAAGAAGAGAAAGCAAAGGATGATGAAATAGCAGCTTAGGATCACTTGAAGGTCACCAGTAAAGATGACAGAGCCAAAAGCTTCTTGACAGGGGCAGGATCGGTAACAAGGCAATCAGACAGGCCCTGCACCTTACATTGTTCCTCATGCCTCCAAATGTTCATCTTGGACATCTAGAGTCAAGGCCAATCATACCAGCACAGAAGTCCAAAAATTCATCCATAATCTGTGTCCGTGAAAACAACTGGTCCATGGCATTGAAAGCATCTTCATCAGGCTTGCATCTGAACTGGTGACTGTGAGTTTGGCCCTGTAGGTCTCAGAAAGTCTGCTTTTCCCCAGGAGCGCACCAGTGAAAAACACTTTTCTAAGGGAAGACTTAGCCTGCAGTTTGTTTATTTTCAGGACTAACTTAAAGCTTTTCTGGGGAAAAAAAAATATTAATATCACCAGTATTAAATACCAAAAATGTAGGTTCACCAGTGTTATTTATCCAAGCTGATGTTAAGCAGAATCCTTGCAAGCCATCTCTCTCCAGAGGCCATGTTTACCTTCTGCTTCCTACTTCAACCTCTTACTTGCACATGCTGTGTCCCTGTCCTGGGACAATGTCTCGCATTGCACTCTTTGATCCTGAAGTTCTCATTACTGCAAGTGGTTTACAGTGACTTGATGAATGTGGCCTCATCCAGTTCCTAAGAGACCCTTCTCCACCACCGCTATATGGAGACTGTGTTTCACTGTCCCCCAGTTCAGGCAGGAGTTAATCCACAGTCGCTGAGGTGGGAAGGGACCTCTTCTTCCTCATCTAGTCTAGCCCCCTGCTCAAGCAGGGTCAGCTTAGAGCAGGTTATCGAGGACAATATCAAGCCAGGTTTTGGATATCTCCAAGGATGGAGACTCTACAACCTCTTGTGGGCAGCCTGTTCCTGTGTTTGAGCACCCTCACAGTAAAAAAAAAGTGTTTTCTTGTTTTCCATACACTCCCCGTTCCTAGACAGCATTTAAGAGTCAGAGGAACAGGCAGACACGGAGATCATTCCTGCCTTCTCCAAGAAGCCTTCCTAGGGCACTGCCTGTTCACGAGCTAGTCCTGACAGGAGAATGGCAATTTTAGAAGTACCAGAAACAGTTTGCTTTTTGCCAAAACAACAACAGAGGAGAAAAGATTCAGTGCTTTCTAGCAGGGGTTATTCTCCCTTAATATGTTCATGAACAGAAGAGCATGGGAGGAGGGAAGTAGCATAGGGAGATGCAAGGAACAGGAGGGAGGGGGCCAGCACTGGAGGGTGAAGGGGGAGAGGCCAGTTAAGGGGAGGAGTCAGGGTAAGGAATATTTGTCATCTACCTCCCGTCTTGGTCCTTACTGTCTTCTTTGCTGCCTCCCCAGCCAGCCACTGACTTTTTGTCTCTCCTACAAGGACAGTCTTCCTGCTCTACCCTGCCAACCAGGCCTTCAGGAGCCAGTCTCTGCTGCTACCATGGGACCACCAGGAAATCTTCTCCCACCCAGGGATGTCCGCAGTGGGAGCCTGGCTGCCTTCGCTGGAATCAGGATGAAAACTGCTCTTCCTCTTGGCATGTCTTTGGGGTAAGTTTTCTCCTTTTCTCACGGAGAACAGGGTTGTAGATACAGCCTGATAAATGGGATTCATGATGGATTGACCCCTCTCGTGGGGGTCCTTGGCAAGGAAATGGGTTTCGTGGCTGGAATAAAGGACTGAAGATCCAGGAAGCTTGGGTTTTAACTCCTGGCACTGGTAAAGGGCTTGACGTTTCTGAGGCAAGAGAATACAGTAGTAGAGATGATCATTTGGCTTCTGAAGGTCACCTAGAGATTTAGAGGCATTAACAATGCAAACATACAGAGACAAACCCTGGGAACAAACAAATGCAAGCATAAAGACAGAGCTTCCTTTGATTGATCTGTGTAATCCAGAATGTAGAACTGGTTTTTTTCCTCCACCCTAGAGTCACAGTCTGTGTTGGAGCCAGGACCTAAGAGTGAATAAGCATAGCAGACCTCTGTTGCCTCCCTGACAGAGTCAGTGCTTAATGTAGCTGCATCTATATCGTGCAAATCAGCGTAATCCAATAACTTAAACCAAAAAGTAGTAAAAGAATTGGATAAGGATTGTCCTGAGACAGTGATGTTGGTTTTTAACAAAACCTGGTACAAGTTGAGGCTGTTTCAGGGGCTAGGATGTGCAAATGATCAAGGAGGATGATCTGGGAATTTAAAGTTTGTTAGAAAAATATCCGTGCTTTCCAACAGCATAGAAGAGTGGACCTGGCAAGCCTTAGGTGGTAACCCTTGCTCTAAAGCCTCTGATACAAGTGTATAAAGGCCATGGGGAGCAGCACCCAGGACCAAAGATGTAGACGCAGTTTAAGCATCTGACAGGGCCTTTCTGAATAAGGAGGGATCTTTGGCATCTTCTGCCAGGCTTAAATCCCAACAGTAGCCTGGATTTTCCTTATACCCATAAAGAGGCCCTTCTCTACCTCAAGTCTTCTTCCCTTATGGATGGATGTTGATTGGAAATACTTTCTTTTCTGCATTGTCCAGTTGTTTAGCACAGACAACACTGCAACTGTCAGCAGCTGGAAGGTGACTCCTACCCTATGGACTGTAGGCAGTTGCCTTAATGTAGGTGTCTAGAGCCATTTGAGTTGCCCTAGTTTCTCAATCCTGGACTCCAGCTACTGCCCCGGAGGGTGCAGGTCTACAAATGGCACTAGAAGCCTTCATTTAGGTGAACAAACTGTGCTCCACATGGCACCAGCTGAGCAAGCTCTGGATAGCAAAGTTCTGACAAGCGTTTTGGACAAGGATGTGGATATCCTAATTTGTACCCAGACAAGTGACCTCAAAGCTTCCTTTGCTAACTTGCACAACTCGGGGAGAGTGGCAGACCTCAGGAGGAACATTCACGGTCTTGTGCATGGAGCAGGGAGCTGCACAATGAGCGTGGGGGGGATGATCTGAGACCCATGGTGCTGCAGCAGCTCAGGTTGTGTGGGGGCACTTACTCTGGGAACTCCATCTTCCTCAGGACCATAATCTGAGGTTTTCCTCTCATCTTCCTGACTGTGCGCAGGGTACAGTCTAGGGTTTCTGTGGTGTGGAGCTGTCACGCACCACGTCAGAGGGTGTGTTGGGACTATTCCATGGCTGGAAATGATTGGTTCTCATCCAAGGTTTTGAATATCTGGCATGTGTCTAGGAGGGACTTATTAGTAGGAATCCCATGATCAGAACTGTCCTAGATGACTAAGACCTTGCAGCTGCTTATAGAGATGCAGACATGTGTTAGAGGTTCTAACACCGTGTGTGCAAGAAATTTACACCACTAATTAGCCAGCAAGCTTTTCTTATAATGTTCCTGCTGGAAAAAAAGTGGTGAGCATTTCGGCAATCCTTCCCCAGACAGACCCAAAATGGCATTATTCCTGCAAGAGCAAGATGTTACATTCTCCACTATCAGCCAAAACCTGGCTCATGCCTATTTTCTACCTTGGCTTGTTTTGCAATTCAGGTGTGGCCAATTCAGCTCTGATGAGACTTGTGAGCAGACCCAGCTGCTGTGTGGGGCAGCTCGAGGTGTTTTGGAAACAGCAGTGGGGAACCGTGTGTGATGATAGCTGGGATCTGTCCGATACCATGGTCATCTGCAGGCAGTTGGACTGTGGAGAAGCACTGTCAGCCCCTGGCTCGGCTCACTTTGGTCAAGGAACTGGTCATATCTGGCTGGATGACATGAACTGTACCGGTACAGAAGCTGACCTTTCTGCCTGCAGGACTAGACCCTGGGGAGAGCATAATTGCAATCATGGAGAAGACGCAGGTGTTGTGTGCTCAGGTCACTCACATTTACACCCCTCCCCGTGTGACCCCAGGAGGCTGTGCTGTGTAGAGGGAGGTTTTTAGGCCTGTTTGCAAAATTTTATTTCTCCATGAGTGCTACTCTTAGGGCTCAAGATGGGGATGGTTGCTTCAGGCACTGACCTGTACCATGCCAAGGACAATGTTATCCAGCTCAGTTCTACCAGTTAAACGGGGGGGGTGGGGGGGGGTGTTTGTGCTTGTTCTGTTACTGGGGCAGAACAGAGATCGTGGGGGTTTTTCACTGATCCACATTATTCTTGCCTCTTATGCCATCACCTTGAAGTTAATGGGCAAGGAGACTGAAGGATCCCCACCTGGATGCACATATGCTCCATGAACATATTTCATGGCTGAAATGTGCCAGGGAAGTTGAGCATTTACATGGCCTCTTTCCATTCGTATTTTGTGACAATACTCTCTCCCGGTGGATGTGTTTATTCTCCAGACTGGGACTGGGATGAGAAATGCAATTGTGGGTCGCTTGTCTGTGAGCCAGTCCTAACTTGGACATCACGGCATGATGCTAATGAATGCTGAGCTCCAGGAACCGGGTGGGGAAGGCTTGAAGGTGTGTCATAGAATCATAGAATAGTTTGGGTTGGAAGGGACTTTTAAAGGTCATCTAGTCCAACACCCCTGCAATGAGCAGGGACATCTTCAACTAGATCAGGTTGCTCAAAGCCCCATCCAACCTGACCTTGAATGTTTCCAGGGATGGGGCATCCCCCACCTCTCTGGGCAACCTGGGCCAGTGTTTCACCACCCTCAGCGTAAAAAATTTCTTCCTTATATCTAATCTAAATCTACCCCCCTTTAGTTTAAAGCCATTCCCCCTTGTCCTGTTGCAACAGGCCCTGCTAAAAAGTCTGTCCCCATCTTTCTTACAAGCCCCCTTTAAGTACTGATAGGCTGAAATAAGGTCTCCCAAAAGCCTTCTCTTCTCCAGGCTGAACAACCCCAATGCTCTCAGCCTTTCTCCATAGGAGAGCTGTTCTATCCCACTGATCATTTTTGTGTCCCTCCTCTGGACCCGCTCCAACACGTCCATGTCTTTCTTATGCTGAAGGCTCCAGAGCTGGACACAGTGCTCCAGGTACTACCCCTCTACATCATGGTTAGCTGGGGATTAAATCTTCATCAAGTGGGCCATGGACCCCAGGAGGTGGAAAGGGGATTGGGATGTTGACAGGCTGCCCATTGCCCTCTTTCAGGTCGGTATTTCCCAAACACTGCTCCACCCAGAACTGAACAACAAACCAAATTTCCAAGTGCACATCCTCCTAGTGGGATCTGGAATGGGATTCAGCTCCATGTTAAGACCCAGACATATATATGTCTAAATGCAGGTGTCACCACTGCTGGACTGGGTGTCTTCCTGTTACAAGCAATGGGGATCTAGGGTGGAGTCAGTTCCCTACACAGAGTTGCCAAGTGCAATTAGAAATGCCCTGGGGCATTTGACACAACCTTGCAGATGAGATACAGGCCCTAAGGGAGACCCTACAGGGCAGGAGTCTGGGGGAATACCAATGGCATCACGTGTGCTGCTGAATGCTTATTTGGGCAATTTAATCAAATGCCAGTACTTGGCCAGCTGAGCAGCTCCACAGATGTTATTGACTAACCAGAATTTCAACACCCACCTCACATGGAGACACCAACAGGTCTATAAGACATGTGGGTGTCTTGATCTGTAGCCAGTCCCCACCTCTGGAGTAACATCACAGGGGGAATGGCACAGTCCTGTTTCATAAGGGATTCCCAATCTATGATATTTATCTCTCTGATTCTGAGCTCTGAAACCACAGAGGAAGATACAGAACTTGATACTCACCAGCCTTCACCTTGTCAAGTCCTGGGCAGTGCTAGTGGAGATCTTTCTTTGCCTTTGATATCTAGGCAATCTTTCCATGTGCAATCCCTGATCCTGTATTTGGGGTTTTTTTCTTTTTTTAATGCAGAAATTAAAAAAACAGTTAAGCTGCAATTAGTGAATGGTTCGAGTCGCTGTGCTGGGAGAGTAGAGGTGCTTCATGGCCAGCAATGGGGAACTGTCTGTGACAACAACTGGGATATAATTGATGCTGAAGTTGTATGCCGGCAGCTGGGCTGAGGGACTGCTCTATCTGCTCCTTCCTCAGCTTACTTTGGGGGAGGGCATGATGCCATTTGGCTTGATGATGTGACCTGCAAAGGAACTGAAGCTGCCCTCTCCAAATGCAGTGCGAAACCTTGGGGAAGGCATGACTGTGCGTGGAGAAGATGCTAATGTTATGTGCTCAGGTAAATCCCACTCTGCATGACACGAGTGGGTTTTGTGGGGTGTGGAGAGATGCTGGAGGTTCTGTAGGAGGCCCTGTTCCCTTTGGAGCAGCACTGACCCCAACAACCAAGAGAACTGTAAGATGAAAAGTGATTCATACTGTCAAGCCCTAAAGTGATCTTGCCTCTTCTCCTTAATTAAAATCCATCACCACATGAGCCACTGGTAAAAGACAGTGGTGCTGCAAGACTTATTTGTAGGGCTCACCACACTACAGTACATGGCCAGTAGATGCCTTGGTAGAGCATCTCCTCTCACTGCAGGGAGCAGTGGCTTTGGCAGCCCTACCATCCCACTCATGCCAGTATACATAGTTCCTTCTGAAGTTCCCCAAAATCTCTTGCATTGAGGTTGCTTCCCTTTGCCTGCATTGTCCCACTGTCATGGATGGAGTGAGACTGCACTTCACTCGTGAGAGAGAAGCAACGATACACTTTAGTGATATAAAGTGTGAGTTAACAAAGTTCAATGGTAAATGTGACAGTGGTTTAACAAGATTCGATGGCAAGGTACACTTGATTATTTACTGCATCGAGGACAGGGTCAGACAACACTGTCAGGGAGACCCTCCTGTTGAGCCAT